AAAATCGATTTTAGACCTTGTTAACCAACATATGCTCTTTAATATATTTGCAGTGCTGCAGCGCTTCTATCATCAGCAGAACCAGCTGCGCGAAAAGGAGGCGGCGGAACGGTACCAGCAGCAGCGCCAGCAGCCGCCCGTTGGAGTGACCAGCACGAATCCGTTTCACAGCAACTATGTGCCGCCGCCGCCATCGACGCACTCCACCTCTAGTCAGTCCTCCACGCAGTCGACGTGCTCCCAGATCGCCGTCAATCCCGCCAGCCTATCGCCATCGACTGGCTCTGGTATAGCTTCGATAGGAGGGGGTTTGGGAATAGGAACAGGATCAGTAGCAGGATCAGGAGCAGGAACGGGAACGGCAACAGGATCGGGGACAGGATCCGGTGCAGCTGGTCACTTTGGCGCGGGCGGCAGTGGTGAGCAGTTGCAGTACCAGCCGTTGCCCATCGCCGCCGAGGCAACGGTCACGAGTCCCACGCTCCTGCCCCCCAGATCCCCGGATCAGCAACAGCAGCAGCAGCAGCAGCAGTCGGACTGCGGAGGACCCAGCGCCATGGTGGCCAACAAGCTGAGCAAGCTGTACGCACGCCGCCAGCTTTTGGGCCAGAGTTCGAGCAGCGGGGCGAGCAGCAGCAGCCTGGATGGTTGCAGCCGGGAACAGCACGATGCCGGTGAGCCATCAATCGAAACACTGGCTTACCATTTACACGCTCAGAAACAAAATCGTCATCACATTTTGTAAAATCCTAGCTGGCAGTATTAAAATCTCTGAGTTTAGGAGTAGTAATTTAATATCACTGCTTCAACAATTTTTTTTCATTAAATCAATACTTCGAAATTAAATAAGTCTTATTAAAATGTAGTAAGATCGCATATATTTAAATATTCCTTTTAAGGAAAAGATTAAAGATGATTTTATTTCTTTAATGGTAAAAAGTCATGGCTTCTTGCCCTCTCTTCCTAAAAAGAAAGTTTAACACGTTTTTATTTATGATTTCAACAGGCAAAATTCGTTTGGTTTCATTGAGCATATTTTTAAGAATAATTATTTTCACCTTTTTTTTTGTAAAAATAAATAAACAAATTCACAATTACTCTGTTTCTTTTCAAAAATTTATTAAGTTATGCGATAACACTACATTTTTTAGAAATTTATTTAATACACTTTTCCAAAATGTTTGCCAATGAGAAAAAACTAATTTTGCCTTTTAGAAACATGTTTTGTAAAGCTATTTTCTTCTTCTAATTATTCTATAGATTGAAGAATATTAATAGCTTTTTAAATATGACTGTGATTATGGCTTTTAAAAATATCAACCTACAATTATTATATTTGTAGCTCTTTAATATATACAAACAAAAAAAGATTTTATTTCTGAGACCAGCTTTTTTTGATTTCGCTTTGAACACTGCTAAGTTGCGCTTGTATTTATACATTTTCCATTTTCGTTTCGTTTCTTTCTCTCTTCGTTTACCGCACACCAAAAACCGCACTCTGCACGAATGCACTGCATCACCATGAAACCACGAACCACCCCAATTCATCACTCAATTCATGCATCATCTTCGAAAAAAAAACGATCAAACAACCAAACAACCAACCAAACAACCAACCGAGCAGGCTGGTTTAACACTCTCGCCGGCGCCATGAAGCGACAGTTTGCCACCTATGTTAAAACCCAATTGAATTCCACAGCCACATCGCCGGTGGCGTCCAGCATGGATCGGGATCGTGATCGGGATCGCGAGCAGGAGTTGGTGCATCCGCCGCAGCCGCCGGCTTACAGGAGCATCGTGAACAACGGCAGCGGTGGCGGAAAGTCCTACTACTATCGCACCTTGTCGGCAGCCAGCAGCAGTAGTAATACCAGCCAGAGCACATCGCCGACGACGGAACCGCTGCCGGGAGGCGGCACCAGTAGCTTCCTGCGCCGTTACGCCAGCAGCGGACCCGGCATGGGCATGGGCACCGGAGGAGGAGGAGGAGGCGGAGGAGGAGGAGGAGGCAGCATCAGCAGTCCACCCAGTCCGCACATCTTGGCCGGATTGGATCGCCGGCACCGAAGTCCCGATCCACCGCCGCGCTACAATCGTGGACAGTCACCGCTGTTACTGCGCAAAAATCTTCTAGAGCTGAGTGGCCAGCCGCCGGGCTCACCACTTCTGCACCGTCGGTATGTTAACTCTGTCCTGCTCTAAATCATGCCTAATGTGGGGCCCCCAAACTCCTTTGCAGATACGTTTCGGCTTCGCCGCCCTTGCCGCCACCCCGTCGAGGATCTGAAAGTGTGCCGGGATCACCGCAGCACTTCCGCACCCGCATCCACTATACGCCCGAGCCCCAGAGACGCATCTACCGCACGATAGATCAATGAGTAGCGCTGCAAATCATGGTCATGTGATGCTGGTACGGCTTCGACGACGATGCCGCCAGTGCTGCTGTCCACGACGACGACGACGGGGAGCAGATGCATGAGCTACTGGAGCCAGTTTCCATGCCCGTTTCGATGCCCGTCTCCATGCCCGTCACCGTCGCTTCAGCAGCCGGCGACTCGCTGTCGATGCCGATGACACATGCAGATAGTCTGGGCACCACCAGGTCGTCCGGAAACAACCGGCGGCGATTCAGTACCGGTCGACGGACGTGTTCGGCCAGCGGATCGTATGCCAGTTTGTATTCGGAAAGGGACGAATGGCCAGCAGGATCATCGACGGCAACATCGACGACGACGACGAACAGAGCTGGATATCCGTGGACATGTGATTGATGACAAACGAAAGTGTTCAAAAGTCTTTATATATACGTTTAAGTGCTTGAGCCCCAAGCGGCGATTCAATTGCATAAGTATCTGCTAAACACTTAATTTCGTTGCGCAGCTCCAACTGTACATAGACATTTATCTGTAGGGATCTATATAGACACATCCGATAATAGTGCAATAGTTCAAAACAATTCTGTTCGCCCAGCCCCCCTGTAACCAAAACTCTCTTCCCTCTTATATATATCTATATATATATATATATATATATATATATATATATATATATATATATATATCTGCTAATCTTTATCTGTGTCTGTAACTCCTTTAAATGGCAACTCTGTAATCAAAACGTTAACACTTTACATAACGTAAATTATTGAACCGTAGCTCTAAACAACAACAAAAATAGCTAATTCGAAATGGGGAAAATCCAAGAAAAAGAATGAGAAATTCAAATATTGTACTTTGTAGCTTTGTATATAGAGAGGAGGTTAAGTGCAAAAGTCGTTGCATTTGGCTGTCTGCAATTTGTTTTAGTTTATACATTTCATTACAACATCAACTTGTGTGCTGAGTGGAAGGGAAACCAACAACAAACAAAACATTAACAATGGAATTATTGTACTGATTATTATAATTGTTTAATTTATTATGTAAGCGGCAACAAGCAACAATTCAAATTCAAATTCAGTTTTCGTTTTGTTTTTTTTTAATTTAAAAGAGGGGGGAAAAGATTGGTTCTTCCTTCGGCCAGGTTTGTCGAAGATTTTTACAACTTTACCATAGATATGGAAATTTTGGATTTGCTGTTTCTTGTTTAAACGCGATACTTGTATTAATTTATTTGGAAAAAAAGAAAAGAAAACCGATGTGGGTGAATGTTATAATAATTAAAATTTGTTAAACAACTTCAGGAACCGCTTCTTAAAACCCGAACCTATTTTTTAATTTCTTTAATTATTTTCTAGGGGTTTCCACGTTTCTATATTCCACGCTTATATTTATATATTTTAAAAACATAAGAAAGGAACAATAAATCAATAAACCGAACATTCAAGTGTGTGTTTAATTTAGATTACTAATTATTCAAAATATTTTTGGTACTGGACCTTTATTAAAATTTAAATGGGTAATTGCATTGTCTTCAAAATGACAAAAAAACGTTTACAAACCAATGCAGAGTTTTTTGTAGAACTAAACCACAAGCTTTAGGAGGTATTCCACTACGAAAACGGATGTCTGTAAGAAAAATGATGAGCTAAGAAGTGAAGTTTTTTATGGGCTTAGAAGCGCAGAATTTTGTTGACTTTTCTTTTTCTAAAAAGAAAGAAATTGAAACGCAGACTTTATCCCAACTAAAAAACTGAAATAACAACATTAAGGGTTTAATTTTTTGATTTTTATTTTATTTTTTTCCTGTTATTCTTGGCTCTGGCAATTACAACATTTATTTAGTTTTATTCTGCATTCAATTCACTTTTGTTTTTCGATTAAACAAATGTTTTATTTTTTTTTTTTTGCGTGTCATTGATCGTCAGCTCAAAAGGAGTCACGACTTTACATTGAGTGGCTATTTGTTTTCGGGTTTGTGTTTTTCCTGACTCTGTTTTTTTTTTTGGTTTTACCTGCTATCAAAAGTGGACCCGCCCTGCACCACTGAGCACCACTCTGCCATCCGGTGGTTGGGTGGGTGGTTTAATGCGGCAGAGGGGCGGTGGTCGGTCGATGGGCGGGTCTGTTGGGAACAAACATATTCAGAAACAGCACTTATTGTTTATTTTCGGTATATCGGATATCTGCGGTAAACACATTTATATTATTCAGATGAGTACATTCAGTTCGAACAGTATATATTTGAGTCGATAGAGCGAACAGTAAAAATACAGCTATGCTTTATGCCCATTTAAACCTGTTGCTATTTTGTTTGTAGATTAATCAATAACAAAACTAAAAAAAAAACCTACAACTTTTGTATAACTATCTTTTGAGTTTAATGGCATTCGGCCATCTCTTTTTATATTTTACTTTAAAGAGTTTTCAATTATTTTGTCATTTTTAAAAGCAGTCCTGAAAATTTGTTCACCTTTTTTCTATTTTCCAAGACTGTTTGTAGTTCCTAGTTAGTTATCGTTAGTTTTAGTCCTGTTTGATTTTTAACATTTACAGTTACTCCGTTTTTTTTTGCACACTGAAAGCGTTTAATTATTTATGTATTTTGGTTATTGATTTTGTTTTTTTTCTTTGCCTGTTTGCGTTTTTAGGGTTTTACATTTTAATTGCTTACACTTATGCTTACATATGTATGTATGACCTGCCAGACATTTGATAAACATGGTTGTACAGTTTAGACATTGAATTTTGATATATGCGTCTTTGAACATTTAAGTGAAACCCTTTTGGAAATGCTGCCGTTTACATTTAGTTTTCTTGTTGCATCAGATTTTGCCTTGTCTACTTTTATTGATTAAAAAAAAACTGGGCTTTTTGTGGCAACTGAAGAATTCACGAAGGGCAAAAGCAAGTCCCTTAGGTAAATTACAAAATAAAATGCTGTTTTTGTCTGGGTGGAGATGTGGTTTTGGGCACACAAACTATAGTTAGGGATTGACTCATTTCCCAGGGGATTTACAAAACGATCTTTACTTTGGCTTCTTATTTTTCACTTTTTTTTTTGTGTTACACTGTGGTATTTGCGGGAACTCTTACTTGGATAATATTTGTCTTTCCTAAAAAAATTCTGCTGTTTTTTCGGATTATTAATGAACCTTTTTTTTAACACATGGGTTACTTGGTTTTGGATTTTTCTTCAGGTTTTTAGGGATTTTTTTCGGTTGTAATCTCTTCTTATAGGTTTTTTCATATGTTCTTAGGTCAAGTACTTCAATGGTTATACAAACATACACTTAGATATTGCACTTATGTATCGGTATTTCTGGTTTACTGGACTCTCTCTTTTCTTGTAATAGCAAGAATTGGTTACTTTACAGTTAAGTATAACTATAGTTACCGTGTGTTTAATGTACAGGAGAACAAGCCAACTTGTCTTGAAATGTAGATACTTATTTATGTATGTTTTCTTGCCCTTTTTGGTAGTAACAAATTAACAGACAATACAAAAAAACGTCTTTAAACAGTTAGATTATGCTTGCAATTCTCTTGAACATTTAAGTACATCATATATAGTTTCTTAGTTATTAAAATGGTTTTTATTGAGGGAGCTGGAAAAGGGTGAAAGGAGTTTTGTTCTGCTTACATTGTTCAATAACGTTGATTAAAAAAATTGGTTTATATTCATTTTAATTTGGTTTGGTTTTTTTTTTGTTTTAAGTCTTTGTTTTACATCAGTAAGCGTTTGTTTTTTGTTTTCTTTTCCGGTTTTTCACTTTTTTTTGCAAAGCTTTTTCCTTGCTGTATTTTTTTTTTGTTTTTTATTTTTTTTTGGTTTTCTTCGATTGTGTGGGTATCAAAAATCGAATGCCACAGTGGTTCCTTAACAGACTAGTCTACACATTCCTTCTTAAGACGATCATACAACGTACACATATATATTATATGTTTGGGTAATACTTGTCGAAAATGCTTATGCTTTGCCTGGCTGCTCCACCATTATCTTTTTTGTTTTCGTAGAGGGAGGGGGCGGGAGGGGGTGGGATTTTGGGCCGCCGTCTCCCTCCGCTCTCTCTATTTCCCCCAAAAATCGGGGGCTCTCGTCATTCCGGGGTGAATGTAAGAGTTAACAATGTCAGTTTCGATTTGGATGGTTTGGGCGCCTTCACGAGCGGTGGGTTAAACGGATTAAAAAAAAAGACAAGCACACAAGGTCATTCACACACTCACACAGTGATGGGCAGCATTTTTAGAAAATTCGATAATTGCCAATAATCAAATACCTATCTAAGAATGGAAAGTAACCATACAAATTCGATAAGTACCAAAAATCTATCTAGGTATGAAAATATAATTTCCAAAATCTTCACTTTGGTCCTTCTGCAAAATTAACAACGTTCAACGTTACATAATAAATGAAAAATATCCATCCGCGGGCGCCAAAGCATTAAGATTTAACTTGAGGTTACTATCAAGCTATTTATTTTATTTAAAACATTTAAAACACAAAAAACAAAAATTTGTGACCCAACACAATTGAAGTGTATTGTGAAATGCTTTTATTTGTTTAAAATAAGTGCATTAAAAAAAAAAATGTTGTATCCTATCTGAACTTAAATGTTAGGTAAAAAAACAATGCCTCCCCCAATCACTGTTCCCATTCACTCATTATATTCAAAACAAAGCTAAAACCACATTTTAGAAATTCGCCATAAAAATTAATTTTTTTACATTATATTTGTATTTTTAAGAAAAATGTTGACTTTAATGTTTAGAATCGGTTCTCAAATAAAAAAGTGTTTTGCTTCTGCAACGCTATAATTCCCAACGGGCTTAAGCTGCTTTTTTTATTTAAATTCTACTCACTTAAGGCCAATTTCTAAAAAGGTAGGCTTACAATGTCAAAACTCAGTCACACTGGATTTAGTAACGTCGACCGCTGCTGCCGCTGGCACATCCGCCGTCGCCGCTGCTCCCGCTGGCGCCATCGGCCGCCCATCTTTTGCGGCGCGCCTCCTTGGCGGCCTGCATTTGGGCGGCCACGCGACTCGTACTCGGGGCATTGTCGAAGCTGGCATACAGCTCCACCTCCATGTCGGCGTCATCGTGTGGCTGATTCTGCTGCATCTCGAGGGCGGCGGCCAAGGAGGCCATGGCATAGGCACGGGCATCGATAGGTGGCGGGTGGCTTTGGTGATTTGAATGGGCACTGGCTACTGTGGCTATTGTGGCTACTGTGGCATCCGAATCCGACTCCTGCTGCTGCTGCTGCTGCTGTTGCTGCTGCTGCTGCTCCAAATCGAAACTCACATTCTTACTGTCTCATCCACCCCGGTGGACCTGGATGGTGGCCTCGGCGGACTCCTGCTGGCGCAACTGCTGACGGTACGCATCCAACTCGGGCATCCGGTATGTGCCCAGATTCACCTGCACCATGAGCGTCTCCATGATGCGTTCGTTCTTCATTGACTTGGAGGGCAGGACGACCGTGAGCAGTTCACTGGGCGAGATCCGGCACAGGTTCAGATCGCGCGTCAGCCGCTCCATAATGCACTCGAACTCGAACTGGGTGTCCTTGTTCGGATGGTTCTTCAGTTTGCCCACCTTGTGCTGGGCCCACGCCAGCATCGCCTCGAACTTGCGAATCTCGGGCGTCTGCAGCTCCCGGCACATGATCATCTGCACCATCGACTCCGACAGATGCAGGAATTCTGGGCACTTGAACAGCGAGTGCGCCTTGCTCTCCACGAACGACAGGATCATGTTGACCAGCTCGGAGGCGGATGTGTAGCGCCAGTAGTAGTTCTCCAGCGAGATGAGCATCGGGCAGACCACCTCGATGCGCAGAAATTGCTTGCAGTGATGGAAGCACGCCTGCAGCAGCTCCGGCAGGTCGTAGTGCTCCGCGGCACACAGCAGACCTGTAAAATTCGTTGAAAAGATATGTGAGTTTGCGAGAAACACTTAAATCAATCGATCAAGGATAGATGGTATAGGTTGACAGCTGTTCAAAATAGCAACTCTTTTGACTTTGGGTCTTATTTTGGCAAAGTTACAACAAAAAGACTCTTCAGAAATAATTTTGTTTGAAAAATCGCCAAAAATCCCAAAAAACACATTAAAAACTTGGTTTTTGTGTCAAAACCCTGGGAAATAATGGTCAAGTGTTAGAATGTCATACACCGTTGAATTCGTAATAAAATTTCCAATCGAATGGCATTAACAGTTGAAATGTTTTCAGATTTTCAAATTTCTGCAAAAATTGATGATGTACCCCCTTACAAAAAAGTCAGAAATTCGGACATAAATAAATTTTTCAAAAAACGTTTTTCAAAATTCGGTTTTTTTGTCAAAATTAAATTAATTGTTTTCAATCGATCAGGTATGGATAATATAGGTTGCTAGCTGTTCAAAATAGCAACTCTTTTGACTTTGGGTCTTATTTTGGCAAAGTTACAACAAAAAGACTTTTCAGAAATAATTTTGTTTGAAAAATCGCCAAAAATCCCAAAAAACACATTAAAAACTTGGTTTTTGTGTCAAAACCCTGCAAATAATGGTCAAAATGTGGAATGTCATACACCGTTGAATTCGTAATAAAATTTCCAATCGAATGGCATTAACAGTTGAAATTTTTTCAGAATTTCAAATTTCTGCAAAAATTGATGATGTACCCCCTTACAAAAAAGTCAGAAATTCGGACATAAATAAATTTTTCAAAAAACGTTTTTCAAAATTCGGTTTTTTTGTCAAAATTAAATTAATTGTTTTCAATCGATCAGGGATGGATAATATAGGTTGCTAGCTGTTCAAAATAGCAACTCTTTTGAATTTGGGTCTTATTTTGGCAAAGTTACAACAAAAAGACTCTTCAGAAATAATTTTGTTTGAAAAATCGCCAAAAATCCCAAAAAACACATTAAAAACTTGGTTTTTGTGTCAAAACCCTGGTAAATAATGGTCAAAATGTGGAATGTCATACACCGTTGAATTCGTAATAAAATTTCCAATCGAATGGCATTCACAGCTAAAATTTTTTCAGATTTTCAATTTTCTGCAAAAAATGATGATGTACCCCCTTACAAAAAAGTCTGAAATTTGGACATAAATAAATTTTTCAAAAAACGTTTTTCAAAATTCAGTTTGTGTGTCAAAACTAAATTTATTGTTTTAAATCGATCGGGGACGGATGGTGTAGGTTGCTAGCTCTTCAAAATAGCAACTCTTTTGACTTTGGGTCTTATTTTGGCAAATAAAATGGCTTTAACAGCTTTAAATTTATAACATTTTCAAAACAAAAATAATGTAACCCCATGTCAAAAATGCGGAAATTATTTTTAAAACTAGTTTAAAAATCTTTTTTTTTACGAAACCATAATTCATTTTTTTAATCGATCGGGGATAGATAGTATAGATCGCCAGTTGTACAAAACAGTTACTCTTTTTTGACATAACACAAGAGCTAAAGAATTCGCGTTCTTATTCTGTATAGTTTTTCACCTGGTATGGAGACGCAGGTCAGCGGACAGGTGCCCGTGTGCAGATAGTCGAGTAGAACGCGGAATGTGTCCGGATCGAACTCGATGATGTTGAACTCGGTTTGGGCCAACTTGGCGCGGTCGACCTTTTGGGCGTCGGCGCAGACGGAGAGGCGTGGCACGGCCAGCTGGTTGTTGCCCGGCTTATCCTTATCCTTGTCCTTGCTGTCCCTGTCTGCAGGCGCCAGTATGGGTGGTGGTATCGAGTTGGGTGGGTTATCGGGCAATTGGTTATCGGTCATCGTTAGTCGGTTGTCGGTAGGTTGGTAGTTGGTGATCGGTAGTCGTCGAAATTAACAAAAATCGAAAATTAGATTGCAAAACAAAACCGCAAATCATAATTGGGAAATCAAATCATTTGTCAGTCGGCAATAAAATAATTGATTAAACCAAAGGCATTAAGTTAAGAAGTTTATGTTACGTGGCGGGATTTATTTTATCATTATTATTTTTTTATGTTTTTTTTTTGGGAGTGGTGAGGCGTTTGGCGAGTCACATGAGATGAAAGAATGGCAAATTTTGTTTGTTGTTTAATTTAAATTATTTCGTTTGTTGTTTAAGGTTTTTTGTTGAGAATAACATAATAAAGAGAGAGAGAGAGAGACAGAGATATATATAGCATAGATTGTAGATATGGCGTTGGAAGTGGATAGCATAAACAAGGAGCAAGTCAAGTAGTAAAAGAGTTAGGGAAAGTCAAAAATGAGTTCAAAACAGTTTGGTGTTTAATCCAATTGTAAAAAAAGTCACATAACAGTAAAATTGCAAGCAGTTGTGGTGAGTAGAGGTGAAATGGAGGTGGAATGTAGAAATGTTTATGGGGAATTCATATTAAGTATACGCAAATTTGTTATATTCAACAAGAGTCAAGTTTCATTTTCGTGTGCGGTGTAAAGCATAGAGAAACAATTAAAAATAAATAAATTATAGAAAACAATTTCAAAAGTACATTGACAGGTTAATGAAATAAGCATAGGCATTAAGCACATACATACGTCCATGGGGTTTATGATTTTTAGATGATATATTTGTTTATGACGTGTATTAAAAATAACATCAAGTGCAGTATAGATAAATACGGAATTTGGGAATGCGTTAAAAACACAGGTTTTTGGTCAATTGTACAAGGGATGCATTGTCAAAAGTTCAGCAAACGAAAGAACCACGTCCAGAATATTTTATGCGATGAACCAAAGGGTAACGAAATAAGCCACAACAATAAGTAGTAGTACACCACCATTACAGTTCGGTCGACACACAAGACATTAATCGGGCGTAAATTTATAGTAGTGTTCGGGACAAATATATATATAACATATATATATTTTAAATATGTCAGTTGAGATCGGGTAGAGTAAAGAGTACGAGTACGCAGAGTTTTTTTTTTGGGTTGAGGCAAAGATGTGCGGCGTGCGTTTTTGGTTGTTGCAAATATATATATATATTATAAGGTACGAGTAAAGTTGCAAGGTTAAGGTTTTTGATTTTAAGTACGCAAGGACGCAGACGGTGGCGTATACGTAATGTGGAAATGTGGAAAATCAGAGAGAGAGAGAGTGAGAGAGAGAGGAGAGAAGAGAACAAAAGAGAGCGGAGAGAAAAGAACACGCATCGATATGGTTGCATTGCACCGACTGAAAACCCTTACTCGAACAATCTGTCGACGATATCCACTTCTTCTTGTCATCCGGATTCAGCTGGTTGGTGTTCTTGTTCCTTATGGACCTGCCCCATCCGGCCGTAATTGTTCCCAGCCGTGAAAAGGCCCGCTTCACCATCGGCGACGATGGAACGCTTTTCGGTCGGATGGAATCGGAATCGGGAACGGTCAGGTAGTTGTTGCTCTTGGGCTTCTGGTTCTGCGGCGATACCAGCGATGGAGCTGGCCGGGCGAAGATCTCAGCCACGGGAATCTGCGGTGATCCGAATCCCGTCTGAATGCCATACAGCATTTCCTGAAAGAAATAAGCGACACACAATTTCATTATTCACTGCACACTGAACCACAAAATATCTAGTAGTTATCAATTGAAGTTGAAATTATAAGTTATTGATCATTATTACTCATACGCACTGTTGTGCGTGTCTTGTATACCACTCACAAATAATCTTTGCTTTAACTATTAACTGATGAAGCTGTTGTTAAGCTCAACTAACCTGAAATACACGACTGCGCACTCCAAGGATTGCCCGAACTCCGATAAATCGTGCCTTTTGCTTTGACTGGCCGACCAGAAAGACGACATCGAATAGATGGGAGTTGGTCAGGCACGATGGTTCTTCGTTCAGGAATACGCGGGTGAAATCCTTGGCCAGCTGGTCGTAGTCCTCGAACTGATCGCGAACGGAATCGAGTAGCGGCGAAGAGGGTCTCATGTGACCTGTGGAAAAATTTGAAATGGATTTTACATATCAGCTGGGGATCTTGCAATTTAAGTTTTTCAATTTTAAAATCATTGCTTAAGTATTGGGATTAGATTCGCTGAAAGAAGTTTCCTTGAAAGTCAAATATCATGCACATTACATGCTGGTGTTGAGTGTTAATAAATGTATAAGTCAATACAATATAAGGTGAAATGCATTTTTATTTATTTTATGTATAAATTTTATTGTGGCATACTTTGTCTTTTCAAGTGATTTAAAAATCTTAACAGTGGCAGCCCCGATAATTTCCCAATATAATTTCAGAATTGAATTTTATATGGAAGAACGAATTTTTTTTATAAATCTATGAGTTCCACAACCAACACTTTAATCAAAGATACGCATATGCTGGAAGCAGCTGGCATGTTTGTTATGAGCTAGTCAAGGCACCACCCTTATGGTTTCAAAGATAGCTTCGAGGCCTTCGAAGCAAATGGCAATGTGGGGGCGGTTTTATTGCATTTTGAGTGGAATTTATGAAGGTGATTGCAATAGACAAACACAATAGAATAATTACAATTGTTGAGACATGGCTTCAATAAAGTCTCCAGTGACTATAGAAATTGAGTAGCTCTTGAATGTATCTATACAAACAGAAATAACAAAGCAAATTTAAATGTAATTTAAACCCCCTTCAATGTTATTTTAAAATATTTCCTTGCGTCAGAAATATTTCTAAATTAAAAGTGTTTTTAATATGTGTGGAACTATAAAAATCCTAGAGAATTTATTTTGAATAGTAATGCAAATATTTATATATTAAAATTAATATTATAATTTCTATAATGAAACAGAAATATTATGGAAACCTTTCTCATTGCGTTCATTGATAAACTAAATTTTTAAACTAAACTTGATTATATTACATTTCGTTGGCCCACTGCCATTATTTTGTGCACAGCTGTGTATGTAGGCACCGAAATTTATGCAGTTCCCCAACCGCATTGGCATGGAAATGGCAAACTATATAGGAGCGGTAATTTGCATGATTTCAATATGTATAGTTCCCATTTGGGGATCACTTCCGGCCTTTCTCAGTGTGTGTGTGTGGATGGGTGGATGGGAAGTCTAAGTGTATGTGTAAGTGTGCATGAATAAATCAAATTAGATTTGTGTTGTCTGGTGCAACAAATAGCAACAAATAAATAACAAGAAATCCAAATAAAATTACAACAAACAGCAACGACACACCGCCAACATCAACAACATCGACAACAACACGAACGAGCAGCAGCCTTGGGTGGGTGGTGTTTGGTGGGTGGTGTTTGGTGGGTGGTGGGTGGTGGTGGTAGGTGTCAGTGGGTGGGAACAAAAGATATCCCCCACTGATAAAATAACACAGACATGAACAATATTTCTTGGCCGGACAAGTGTCGGTGTGTGTAGATAAAGGACGAGCAGATTGTCCTTGTCGGGGGAGCTAAGATTCAATGGGGGGAGAGAAAGAGAGAGAGAGGGGCATAGTAGAGGAAAGAGATAGAGAGCGAGGAGAGATTGCTTCGAGCGACGACTGCACGTTTCCGGTGGGCACAAACACAGCCGGATGTGTTAATGGCGGAAGCGGAAATGTCAGTGTGTGAGTCTCTCTCTATCTCCTACTCCCTCTCCCTCTCTCTCTCCCTCTTCCTCTCCCTTTCCCCCCATTTCTATCTCCCTCTTTCTGCGGGTGAAAGTTCAACCGAAAGCAAGACAAAACGATTAATCAAACATACTCGTACAGGAACCGTGTCACAAAGGAGCAAATGCAAATGTCTTTTTTTCTATTTTCTCTTTTTTTTTTTGGTTGCCAGTAATGTCTGCAATTTGTTTCCGCGATTTGTTTATAAATCTCCTTAAAGTCTGACTGAAAATATAAAATCTAGGCAATTTGCTTTAAGGCCTCCAAAGAATAAGTGCATGAATGAAGCTGGCGGTTTGTTAAAATGTATGTCTGAACTTATGTTACATTTTTTTATTAATATGCACAAGTCTTATATAAAGCTATTTGATTTATTTATTTATTTTTTCTTAGTCAACTATAGGCTACCTCAATTAATAATGAAATCAAGAAGCTTTTATTAATTCATGGTGCGATTACCAAGAGCTGATTTTTTACTACTTTAGCTTAATATTTGCATTTTTAAAGCATTTTGTTTTTTTTTTTTGTAAAGAAATGAAATTTTATGACAAATTCAACGAGGTATGGCTTCTGTTGCTTCCATTGGGCAAACAGAAAATCGATTGTTTTTTTTCCATGTGCATTTGTTACCTTTTTTTTTGTGTTGGTGTAAATTTTAAGAAGTCATTCATCACAACCAGGCAAAAAAACATGCGGGACATAAAGAAAGGGGGTCGTGATAAAGCGGGGGCTGTGAGGCGTGGTCGGGGGCGTGGTGGCCCACATACTATGCCTCGCACACAGATGCAACATGGCACAACACGATGTGTGTGTGAGTGACGACGTTGAAAGTTGCAGATGGTGTTGCAGCAATTGTTGTTGCTCTTGGCTCTCATGTTGCAGTTGCACTTGTTGTTGCTGTTGCTCAGAGTAATTGCTGTTGTTGTTGTTGTTGTGTCTGTGTGTGGCAGTTATGTTGCTGTTCAGATTGTTTTGGTTGTTGTTGTTGTTGTAGTTGTGTGGTAAAGCATTGCTATTGCAATAGCAGCAGATGTTGTGGGTCGGCATTGGCAATTGTTGCATGTGCAGCATATGTTGCTGCTGCGCCAACTGTTGCTGCTGTTCGTGGTGTGTGTTGTTGTCTAGGACTCGGGCATGCAACATTTTGATATATTCATCCTCACCGATGGGTCGCCAACTGCCGCGTCTATATGGCTTCGGTATCTGTCCGGTTTCAGCGTGATTCGATAGATTCATCACCAGATCCTCGAGCATCTGCGATCGCGTCCGCTCCTGCATCCTTGCGAATTTCGGTGCCGAATACGATGCCCTCTCCCCGTTCACGATCTTCGTCAGCAGCCATTCTCTATTAAAATGTTAATTTTTTTTCGGTTTTTTAGGTCGCATATTCAAGGGTGTATTGGGGGCGAAACTCACCGGAACATGGGTCCCTTCTCGAACACGGACTGCTCCCACAGGTAGGGTTTGTAGGCACCCACCTCGTCGCGAGTCACCACGGACACCTCGTATCGCGTTGGCTTGTGTTTTATTCTGGCCGACACGCGAACCTTTTAACAGGAGGAAAGAAAAAGGTGAGAACTCAGTAGTCAAGTACCGAAGTGATAACTAAATAAAACACATTTGAAATCGATAAAAACTAATTATGTGAATAAAATCTCTGGTAGTATCTGTAATGTTTGTAAATCTTTCAAACCCAAATTTACTTGCCCCAAAAGGGGACAAAGTTTTTTTTTAAATATTAAAAAATGACTACAATGCGAATATTTGAACTTAAATATTATTTTCTGACCATCACCATCACTTAATTTTGACATACAAATTTAAAAATTGTCCTTAAAAATCAAATGCTCAAAAAGACCCTAGTTATATAAGTTGCTATCTTTGAAGGCGAGACTCACCAGTATAAATGTGTGCAGGAAGTGGCTCTTGATGCAGGCGGGACTGAAGCGGGTGTTATCCGCCTCCAGGAAAACCACGCAGACGATGTCGTTGCCGATGTGTCGCTTCCTCTGGAGCTTCTGCGGATCATGCTTCTCATAGGGCAGCAACGTGGATACATGGAACATGATCTCGATGTTGCGCCAGTTCGTGTAGACGGAAAAGAGACCTTTAAAATTTAATTTAAAATTAAATATAGGTGAAAAGACCAAATATTTGTGCTTACAACTACACTAACAAATACATAACTTTTACCTATTTATTTGTTAGTGTACGATGTGATGCTTAGTATTTTTAACGGCATATTCTTATAACCTTATATACAGAAATATAATTTACAAAAAAAAGTAATACTGATATTAAGAAATGATGTTGTTAAACAAATACCTTGAAATAAAATTATTTAAATATTTAAAACAGGCAAACAGACTCAGGCCAGTGACCATATCGTAATATTTCATATAACCAAAACGCATATAAAAATTATACAAAAAATATTTAGTAATACTTAAAGGCCCCCTATAACATACCTGTTAGGTCGTGCACCGTATCAAGGCCACCTTTGTATTTATCAAATCCGCGCAACCGAACTCGATCGCCCAGCAGCGTGAGGAACTCGTCGAAGAGCGGTGAATTTTCATTATTGTCCAGAATTTGTTCTTCGGTATATTGATCCTCTTTGACAAATATGACGCCTACTTTTAACTCTGATTTTATAAAAACCTATCAAGAAAACCCAAAATATTTAGTGGATTAAGAAACTCTTACTTTGCGATGAGTCGAATACACTACCTGATCTAATTTTAATAATTCCTCTGGCGTGTCGGGTAATTGTCCTAACGTTAAAGGTGGATTTAAATTAACTTCTTTACCTAAAGATCTAACTACTTCTTCGCGATTATATCTGCAAAATGTTAATAAATCATAAATTATATAATATTTTTTTAAATGCCACTTTTGCAAATAATAGAATGATGTAAAATATTAAATTGAGTATTATTATTTACCTATCGGCAAACACACAGGACGCCGGTATCAGTCCATGCACCGTGTAGGATCCAGCGCGCACTAGGATGCGGAACTGATCCCGTCCGTTGAGCGTCTCCTGCTTGATGGACAGGATGACCGGACCCAGGTCCTCGTCGCTGGTGAAGTAGTTCCAGTGCTCGGTGCCGTAGAAGTACTTCTCGTACGTCTCCTGCTCCACGGAGATCAGTTCGAAGGCGCCCTGCTGGTCCCACTGCTCCTCGATGGTGGTCTTCTTTCGCGGACTGCCAAAGTTATTATAAATTGTAACATTATAAATTCTATCAATATTCAAATAATTATAGAAAAAATGGATTTTAAAAACAATCACGTTTCGCATATTAAACAAATTTTAATTTTCTGGGTGTATTTTAAGTAAGCTTTTAAAATGGACCACATTAGATTTCTGGTAAGGAATTGAGTTAAATATATAAAAAAAAGTTAATCAATACCAGCCCAAACAGGCCTTAGGTTTTTGCGAAATTTTCAAAAATAGAAAAACACGAATTAACTCTTAGGGGCTGACCTGGGCGTGGCCTCGGAGTCCTCGTCGTCCTCGTAGAGGTCGCTGCACTCGCGCTCCAGATAGGCATCGCTGGCACTTCCTGCCCGGATATCCTCGTGCTCCGAGTCGCTCTCGTCCCAAATGGTGTGCGGGGTGGGCATGGTGATCTTCTGGCGGGAGCACTCAATCCAGTAGCCAGGCGTTGGCATCAGGTTGTGCGGATACTCCTCGCAGAACTCATCTGCAACGGGGTCGAAGCGAGGGGATTACATTTGTGGCATTAACAAATTAAATAACTACCACATTTTGACTCTTTAAAGTCTTATATTTAACTATTTGGGGTTGCCACAGAAATCATTACTTAAAAAGGTTTCAAAAGTCACAGCACTTCTCAGTTTAATATTTTAAAATAACCATTTTTACATCCTTATGATTGTTTATATGTTCAAAACTACTTCTATTATAAAGTAAAGATTTCAAGACCAGGTGTTTTCTTAGAAATGCATTCTTTTACGTCAAACTTGGGCGTCTTCTCACTTTCTAGACGTCTTAACTCTTAATTTCGCGGTGGCACTCTGGATTTTAGTTTGGCTAAGATTGCATTCCCAATCAGCCATCGCGTCTAAGCACCTCCATTAAAAAAGTTTTGTTGGACGCAGCACCGAGAGTCGCACTTTCTGCCTGCGGCCAGAGTCATGTCAAAAGTTTTCGCTAAACTTTTTAGCGGCTTGTGGCTTTTACATTCTGGGCAAAACTGTTGCCTACTTTGAGGCTTTCAATGGCTGGCAATTCCTTCAACTCCAAACAAAATAATTTGGTTCAATTCAATTAAAATGCAAATACCGTAAACGCTGGCGAGTGGCGTCGCGTGAGCTGCCAGTCATAAAGCAGGCAAAACTTCCCATTTCCCCCGTTTCCCCCGTTTTCCCCATTTTCCCCAATTTCCTCCATTTTCCCCGTGCCCTTTGCCCTTTTCTCTGCCAACGGTTCTGTCCATGATTGAGTTGGAAATTCGATGCGGCGCGTGAGTCAATAATGTACCAAACGCCCAGTGGGTCAAAAGACGACCAAAATGTAATTATAGTCCAGCAATTTGGCTTGCCATCTGCAATGCAATTTCCAAACTCAATCGGTAGATATTTTTCATTAAATGCAATATATTTGTATTTCTATAAGAGTAGGAAACTTTTTTTATCTTATTTTTTATTTGTTTTTTTTTTTTTAATGGATTAATATCAAATCTATTAATATCCATTTTGAAATTTTTAGCAATATAGTTTAAAATGGTTTTTTGACGATGTCAACAGATTCTAAAAAATATTGTATGTTATTATTTTTTGCAAGTAAAAAATATATTTTTTATAAAAATATATTTGCTTGATTAGCTCGAGCTATTATTTTTATTACAATACTTTGTGGTATTTGTATATATATATATGTTATTCAAAATATATTTTTGTGGTCAACCGGTTTTATTTCTCAGTTTTAAGGTATATTTCCTGCTTCTGGCCCACTGTACAACAATGAGGACTATGATGACGGGCATGGCGTTGATGGTGTTTTGGCCCTGGTTCCTCTACTGCTCCTTTCGCTCCTTGTGTGCCTTGTGTTTCTGGCTCGTGTTTCTACGAGACGGCAGTAAAATGCTGCCCTGCGCCAAGATGGGAACTATGATCTAATTAAGGAGCGCTCACCGTTGCCGTCACATGTGCCACACATTTATGCCGCAAGTTTTGCCCGACTGCCACGCAGATGCTGCATATTTTTCGGGTCTTCTCCCCGGCCAAAAAACACATACATAGTCGTACAACCGCACAACGACCCACACAGACAGACAACAGTGGGAGCCATAAAATGGTGGCCCTGCCTAATTCAAATTTGAATAACTCACAGCGTGCGCCGCTAAGTAGGCTATGAAATCGCTAGCTCGCGCTGTTGTTCTGCGGTCGTGCCTAGATTTTGATACCCTACATATAAAGCTGGGTTACTTGTCTTTCAGAATAACGCAACAAACACAAATTATTTACGTTTATTTGAAAAAATATTATTTTAAGAGTAGTATACGTACAGATGTTAATGCTTCAAAATAACCCGCTATGAGAAATTAAGCAATTACTAAAGCTACAGTTATAAAATGCATTTTGTCTATAGAAGATAGTATCTTTAAAATTGAAAATTTCCTATAAAAAGTTAAATAATAAAGATGAGAGCTAAAACCAAAATCAATAATAGTTATTAATAATATTATTTTACTCCTCTCCAAATATTAATTGAGAATCCTTAATGAAATTGAAAGGAGTGGTATGTTTTCTTGCCGTTTAAAACCTGTTGACATCATTTATTTTATTTGTAACAAATTGAAACGTATTTGATTATGATGCAATAGTCAATTAATAAGTACAATATCAAGCAAAACGAGAAACCTTTCAAAATAAAATTTCCTAAAAAAAAACAGACTTAAATCCAAAACAGAAGATTTCGGAAGTTTTCGAGTGTTTCAAGGGTAATACGAGTTCGTGGGGATTCCTTTGGAGGTAAGTAAACATAAGGTTATGGTTGCGATTGTGAATTTCGGCTCGGTCAAATTTTTTGGGGCGGTGCGTGTGTGCGTGGAAATTGCGTGCACAGCGTCCGCGGATAAGCAATATATTTTATTTTTTAAGGCCACTTAAGCCAACCATCCGCCCCGTTTTGGGTCACTTGGGATTTACGCCTCGCTTTGGCGCTTTTTTCTTTTTTTCCGCTACTCAAAGTTCCCACACAAATACAAATGCCATGCCATCCCATTCCGGTCGATCATTTTTCATCGCAGCCCCGGCAGCAACTTATCGTATTGCAACTGCAGCTGCAGCTGCACGGCAGCAACATGCAACACGAAACATGAAAACAAACAACCAAATTGATGGCCCTCGTTTGTGGGCCTCCCAAGGGGGAAAAGACGGCCGGGCAACCATTTCATCTTGCCACTTGTAATGGCCGCTTGCCAAGCCGGCGAGGGCAAACAAATCAGACCAACTGACACCGGGGAACAGCAACAGCAATACTATACTATATAGCATAGCATAGCGGATGCTCCATATCCCGAGAAGCTCTAAGGCAGAGTGGAAATAGAACGCGAGAAGTGGTCCTTCAAAACTGAAGATATTTAATGGGCTGCCCACTAGGAATTGAGAAGAGCCAGTGTTTGCTACTTTAATTTACCCTTAAGTCGAAATATAAAATATTTTTTGTAGCAAATAATAATGGTTTAAAACTGGAATGTCATACCTAGTTGAACTCACAATAAAATTACAAATCAATTGGCATTCAAGCCGGGGCAAATGCAACCACTTGTAACAAATTTAAAAATTTACAACAAAATGCTAGCCGAAAAGAAATGGGGATTTTAAGTCCAAATCATCAGCTGCACAAAATGGTTTTATTAAGCTGTGCGTCTTATTTTGGCCAAAATACAAAATTATACGCCCAAACAAAAAGTTTTTTTTTTTGACCCTAATCCTAATTGAATGCATTTTATGTATATAACTAAAAAAAATTAAAAAAATAAAAAGATTATTTACTTGATTTGACCAACAATATTTGATTATTTTGGCAAATACATAACAAATTTAGCAATTTACTGAAATGGTTTTTTAAAACTATTTAAACTTTTCTAAGAATAAACAAAATAGCGATAAACATTTGTATACAAGCGCTAGTAAAGTTTCAAAACAGACTTAAAATAAAAAATAAAATAAACCTACTGACATTCTAGATTTTACACTAATAAACTGCACTGCAGCTCAGTAAACCTTCATCATCTGCTGTTTCAAAGTCTATTTGAGTGTTGGAGCGGAATGCAGCTGAAAATGATATGTGTGGTTAGTGCAAACATGTCCAATGCTCCAAATAGAGATGCAATTGTGTTGATTTGTGTGCCCGCAAGCGTGTTGTAATTTAAATTCAGTTTTCGACACAATACCCGCAAATGGTGCGTTCGGAATGGCAGGAGCTAAACATTTAATGAACAAATTTTTGGGTGCTGCAATTGTCGGCTGTTCTGCAAATATAAATGAATACCCGTATTCCTGATGAAATCAAATAAAATTCCATTTGCTTCAAGCTCAATTTGATTTGTAAATGAGGGATCATTTCACACACTGATGCTATTTTGCTTTATTTTGGTTTTTAGCCAACAACTAAAATCCAAATTTAAACAAATAATAGTTTCATTAAATTTGGTTGGACAACTGGACAACAAACTTTGCTATAATAAAACAAAAAAAAATGTATATGAATTAGCCAATCCAAATCTTAACCTCTTATTGTGTGTATTATTATTTATCAAGCTTTTAAAAGAAAGATGAAAAGGATTTGTCATGTGGGGGTGCCAATTGAAAATTGTTGCCATGTTTTTGAACGTTGGAAAAAAAAAAACCTCCAAGCGCCAGCACGTCAATCCATTCCTTAAGTGTTTAATCCATTCAGCGTTAATTATGAGAGTGGCTTATCCTGTTTCCGAGTCCTGCTGCGTCATCCACCCATCAATAATCCATCCATCCGTCGATCCTTCGAATTACTGCCCACTAGGATTTCCGCTTACAGAACAAAAAATGGCTGTGGGCATGACTGTGACCCTGTAGTTGGGCCAACAATGCAGTTTGAGCCACATGACTGGGCGGCATTTGTTGCCACACTTTAATGACACGGACCTGGACACCCACTTTTCACCCAGCCACTCATCTGGAGCGTTTTTTATGTTTTGATGCGCCGCGGAAATCCATTAGCGTCCTTCTAACACAACCAAACCAAACCAAACCTAAACCCAACTCATTCCCCTGCGGCCATGACAATTCCCTGAAGGATCACACAACATTGCATTAGCATAAAGTGCCGGCACAATGGCCTGACATTTGGCAAATGACTCGCCGCATAATGGACAGTCGGATCAACCGGAAAAAAAGTCAGGAATCATGCATTTGATTGTCAAACAAAACGGCTCTCTAAACGCGATTCTACATTTTTTGAAAAGAAACTCAGCCCTAAGACAATTTAAGTAATATTATTGGTTTTACATGGATGCAAATATGATTATTTCGAAATGCCAGCAAAGGATTTATATATTTCGTTAAACTTTTATATTGGCGGGCTAAGTACTGGTCCAAATCCAAATATTTTGTATTCAATTTAAATGTTTTCCCTTTGATTTTCGTCTATTGCGACTCTTAGTTATTTTAAATAAGAAAATATTGTTTAATTTTA